CCCCAAAACCCCAAAACCCCAAAACCCCAAAACCCCAAAACCCCACTTTGAGGAGTCATATAATAATCTTAAATAAATGGAAAGAGGAAATTTCCCAAGTAAACTAGGTGAAGCCAGAGCAACTTCTCAAAAAAGAACTTCCCAACGGAGCGACAGCAGAGAGACTTTGTTTAGAACCCCTAGCCCATGCCAACCAAACTTTGGACTACAAGTTAATCCGAAAGTGAGAGCTTTTCAGCCAATAGAAGATCTTCTTCATACTTCTCAAACTGAGGAACCTCAAAGCTCAGAAGGAGGCTTCAGTGAAACACAAATTCAGGACCTAGAACAGGCCTTGGATGGCTTCAATATCAAAGATCTCGGAGACTGGTATGACCCAGATAACCATTCCCTCTTCCAATCAGAAGAGGACGAGGACTCTTCAGGTCCTGGCTGGGAGTCTGATGAACCTGAAATATTTACCAAATCTCATGGAATCTTCCACCCAGAGGAAAATCTCCCAGAAAAGGTCAGTAATACCCAAGAGGAGCTCTTTGCTTCAAAGAGCTTGGGAGCCAAGAGATCTCTGTCCTCTAAAGAGGTTTACTCCAGACTTAGGGATCACATAGAAAACAAGCTCTTGAAGATAGAAAAAGCAGCAGAAAATACTCAGAATTCTGCAAATCTTCAAGAGATTGAGGTTATTCAGACCTGCAGGAGTGTTCCTACTTTCTTACTCAAATTGTTGGTGACATCAGAGGAATATAAGCACTCTAGTGCTTCTGGTCTCAATGAAGCCTATGAGAGGACTTTTAATGGATTCAGGGATATAGTAAAATACCTGGATCTGGAAGATGCTCTTAGCGCACATCTCAACCAATTGCAATATAGTACAACATTAACCTTTGCAGGAATCTCCTTTCCTCTGGAAGAAGTGTGTACGGTTGCTAGAGTTCGAGATGAAGGTGATAAGGCATCGCTACAATTATTAATGAGAGGAAGGGAGAACATCTCCCTCAGAAACATCAGCCAAAAAGTTGGGCAAAATCCAATGCTAGGACTTCTTTTCAAGGTTGTTCTTAAGGCAATAGAAGAGTCTCCTTTACCACTCAAGAATTCACTAAGAATTTTAGAGACATTAGCTTCATTTTAGACATTTTAATAGGTACGTTAGGACTTAATCTACCTCACACATAATTTGACTATAAGAGTTCAAATATTAATCTTCCAAAAGGGGTTTTGGGGTTTTGGGGTTTTGGGGTTTTGGGGTTTTGGGG